GCAGCAAGCTAACCTACCGATCGGAGCATCTGCCCCCTGGTGGTCAGTGCACGTCATAGCGAGCGGTTGAGCAGCCTTAGCCTCTCATTAGCATATTATGCTTTGATTGGTTGAACGGACGACTGGGCACTTAGCATATTGGGCTTTTGTTATATAGGATTTTTATTGATTTCAGAGAAGAAGGGAAAGGGAGAGAGAGAGAAAGAGAGAGAGAGAGAAAAGCATCAATGATGATGAAAGAGAATCACGGATCGGCTGCCTCCCGCATCCCCTATTGGGGATGGAGCCCGCAACCCGGGGCATGTGCCCTGACCGGGAATCGAACCCTGACCTCCTGGCTCATAGGTTGACGCTCAACCACTGAGCCACGCCGGCCGGGCCACATTAAACACGTCTTGGCCTCGGTTTCCCCGGCTGCATAGATGTGATTCCTCACTGATCCCCAGCCCGGGGCAGAGGAGCTGGCCTCCAGGGGGGTCCCCGGGGGGTCAGGCCGGGTCTGCCTGTGCTGAGATGCACCGGCCGCATGTGAGGGGAGCGTCTGGCCCGTCCCTCCATCCTCCTCACCCCAGTGCCGACCCCAAGAGCTCTCGGAAGAGGGGCCCGGGCCCGTCCGACCGCTCCCCCGACTCTGCCCCGGCCCACAGGGCCCCTGGAGCGGGAGTTCTGGCAGCGGGCCGACGGGGACCAGCCGAAGCGGCAGCGGCGGTACCAGAGCTCGGAGAGCAGAGAGAAGTGGGTGGAGACCCTGGTGGTGGCGGACGCCGACATGGTGCGGCACCACGGGCAGCCCCAGGTGGAGAGCTACGTGCTGACCATCATGAACATGGTGAGGGCCCCCAGGGGGCGGCACGGGCGCCCGGCAAACAGTGGGTGTGGCAGGCTGGCCTCCCAGCCCAGGTCCCCAACAGGAGGAAGAGTCAGCCTGTGCCCTGACCGGGAATCGAACCCTGACCTCCTGGCTCATAGGTTGACGCTCAACCACTGAGCCACGCCGGCCGGGCCACATTAAACACGTCTTGGCCTCGGTTTCCCCGGCTGCATAGATGTGATTCCTCACTGATCCCCAGCCCGGGGCAGAGGAGCTGGCCTCCAGGGGGGTCCCCGGGGGGTCAGGCCGGGTCTGCCTGTGCTGAGATGCACCGGCCGCATGTGAGGGGAGCGTCTGGCCCGTCCCTCCATCCTCCTCACCCCAGTGCCGACCCCAAGAGCTCTCGGAAGAGGGGCCCGGGCCCGTCCGAGCTGCCTCCTGCACGCCCCACACTGGGGATGGAGCCTGCAACCCGGGCGTGTGCCCTGACCGGGAATGGAATCGTGACCTCCTGGTTCCTAGGTCGACGCTCAACCCCTGAGCCACGCCGTCCGGGCTCAGGGAGCTTTAAACGAGCGGACGGCTCTCCACGCCCCTTCCCTGCACCTTGCACACCTCACGGCGTTGGGGTGGCCTCCTCCCCTAGGCCTAGTGGGGAGCCCCTGGTATAGGTCGGGGCAGAGGCGCATGGGAATGTGGGTGGGTGTTGGCGGTGGACGGCGGGCGGCTGCCCCTGTCCCGGGTTCGGGGTGACGCCTGCCCCCCCTCTCGGGCAGGTGGCCGGCATTTTCAAGAACCCCAGCATCGGGAACCCCATCCACATCACGGTCGTGCGCCTGATTGTGCTGCAGGACGAGGTGGTGAGAAGCCGAGGGTCCCCCCCCAGGCCCCCCGAGTCCCTGCAAGTGGTGGTGGGGGGGTGCCTGCGGGAGGAAGGGGTGGTC